GCAATGGAAGCAATGGAAGCAACGCATTTTAGTCGGAAAGATAACTTCTGGGCTATTGAATTATTTGAATGTGATCGCCCCTATATCTTTCACTGGGAACTCTGCACAGCTGGCCATATATGTACATATCCGCTGTATGTGACCATTAAATCTTCGAGAAGATCCTTCTACAACCTTCAGGCGGAATGCAAATCTCTTGCTCTGCTTACCCAAGCAAAGATGACACCAGAAAAAGCGATTTGCATCTGTGAGGTATTGCCCGTTGCCCCGACACAACCAAACTACGTGTTCGTGTACGTGCACGTGTATCTGGAGAGAAGAAATCTCTGGGAATGCAACACGACTTGGTGTTTGAAATATTTCACTTTTGGATAGCGCCCTGCCCACCGCCAAGACAATGGCCAAGGCCTTAGATTGGGTATCCGACTGGGACTTGGAGCTGGTCTTTAGATCCTGGTCGTTGGGTCGGCTTGGACACTTGGAGTTTCTCTAGCCCTGAGATAATACATGACATTAGACACAACACCAGGTACAGCAGCTTGGTGCTGCAGGAACAGCGAAGCCGAGTCGGAGACCTCAAAATGCCAAATTGCCATGCATAACATATTTTTTTTCAGTTGTTTTTTTTTCTTTGCCTTTTTGTTTATTGTAAAGGCTTGCAAAGTGGTCAAGAGACCATGATTATAGGGAGGTTGGGGGGAGGCATTGGAATTGAAGAGGCGCGAGACATCTCTTGGACCACAATTTATGCAGAGCGAACAGAGCAATTCAGCTATTCTTTTTTTTCTTCTATTCTCCGCTCTGAGGTTTTCTGCTGGAACAAGAACAATCGCACCCAACGGGGGTTACGGGTTACCTAAGGTCTGGGTTATGGATGAGCCGCAGCATACCGTTAGAACGGTTAGACATTGTGTTTGTGTGTTTCCAGAGCTTCGATTGGAGTTTCGATCAGATTCGGACGAGATTAATGGATTTCTCTATAGAGATGACTGTGCGGTTGGGCGTTGGGAGGAATAACAGTGAAGAAGATGCCCAACGGGTGGTGTGCTCTGTGATGGATGTCTTTTGGAGATGGGTCCACATAGCACTAGAGTCTGTAAGAAACCGCATTTGGGGATCAGTTTGCATTTTGTGTGTTTGACTTTCACTCCCATGGCTCTTTCTCTTTCACTGCCTAGCTCTTTCTTTCTCCGCATGTACATATAGTGCATTCATATGTACATGTGTACATGTACATATCTCTCACTTTCTCGCCGCCTACCATCCTTTGCCAATAGTTGGTATTACGCTTCTGAATATTTCTCTCTCTATCTCTCTCTGTCTCTCTCTCTCTCTCTCTCTCTCTCTCTCTCTCTCCGACACGGTCTAAAGTTTTTGCCGCATGCCCCCATATGTCCACTACTCGTCCCCGTTCGGGGCAACCTCCAACCGCTCTGTCTCTGAGACGTGTCGTGTGTCATCCAGTAACGGTAATTTACACGGGCCATCATGCGAAATTTTTGTTGTTGCCGCTTTGTTGGTCTTCTGCCTCTGCAGCGGCATCTTGTAGATACGGGCCCAACGTCTGCTGCATGTGTTTTTGCCTTTTTTATGTTCACCCAATTTCTTTACCGTTGTTGCTTTGCACTGAAAAAAAATTGTATAATACTTTTTGTATTTGCCAGAAATGGTCCATCCGGCGCATTGGGTACGAAATGTCTACATTCAACCTAAGGATCAAACTTACATTCAATTTCTAATAATCTTGCAGCATTAGCATACATATTTATGTACATTCTACATCTTATATTGACTAGGAATTATATATATATATATAGATATATATGTATATATATATGTTTTATAATGGAACTTGCTTTCAGCAGGCGGCATTAAGGACCATCGACCCCATAAAGCACACAGAATGCTCGTATATTCGTATATATTCGCTCGTATTATTTTGATCAGCATGGAAAGATGAATCGATGTAGCCAGGTCCTATATCATCCTGTCTGTTTGTATGAGACCAATCTCTCAGATATAATTCAGTCCCTTTCCTTTTTTGCAGACCCTCTAGCTACATTTAACACCGAGCCTCTAAGCTATAAACGGTTTTCCATGTCCGCGTCCTGTATGTACATATGTATATGTATGTACATATATACATATGTAGAAAATGTCAAATGCCTCCTATCTTTTTAAATTTCTATCTGTTGGTCAATTATTCCAAAACGGCTTATTCATTTCATAGTTTCCTCTTCGCCACTTTTAGACTCTTTCAGCGAGTAGAAGAAAACAGAGAAGAAAGCGAAATCAACAATAATGTACCCGTAAAATTTCACCCAATAAAAAGTGAGCTAAAAAAGTTTCAGTTTCGTTTAAAAATGTTGCTTTCGTAGCGGATTTGTATACCCGATACTCAAAATGAGTATTGGGGTATATTAGATTTGTGGTGAAAGTGGATGTGTGTAACGTCCAGAAGGAATCGCTTCCGACCCCATAAAGTATATATATTCTTGATCAGCATCAATAGCCAAGTCGATTGAGCCCTGTCTGTCTGTCTGTCTGTCTGTCTGTCTGTCTGTCTGTCTGTCTGTCTGTCTGTCTGTCCGTCTGTCCGTCCGTCCGTCCGTCCCTATCAGCGCCTAGTGCTCAAAGACTATAAGAGCTTGAGCAACGACGTTTTATATCCGGACTTCTGTGATATGTCACTGCTACAAGTATATTTCAAAACATTGCCCCGCCCACTTTCGCCCCCACAAAGGGCGAAAATCTGTGGCATCCACAATTTCGACGATACGAGAAAACTAAAAACGCAGAATCGTAGAAGATGACTATATCTTCTAGAGTGCAAAATCTGAACCAGATCGTCTAATTATTATAGCCAGAATCAAGAAAACAATTTCATTCTTTCTCGCTCTGTCTCTCTCTAACACACAGGTTTCATGGTCGGTTTTGTCAATTGCAAAATATGAGTTCAAGGATCTCAGAACCTATAAGAGCCAGAGCAACCAAATTTGGTATCCACACTCCTGTGATATCGGACCTTGACCGTTTTGTGTCAACATTTCGCCACACCCCCTTCCGCCCCCGCAAAGGACGAAAATCTGTTGCATCCACAATATTGCACATTCGAGAAAACTAAAAACGCAGAATCATAGAGAATGACCATATATATCCGGTTGCTGAATCTGGATCAGATCGGGTAATTTGTGCAGCCAAAAGCAACAAATCTATTTGCAGTGGCTACGCAGCACCCGACGTCACGCTCAGACTGATTTTCTGTCTCTCTCGCACGCACTCTTTGTCGTGTCGCTTAATATTAGCGGCGTCTGCCGGAGGAGAGCCATACTGACTAAGTATCGGGTATAAATGTAGAGTTGCGGTGTCCGCAGCAACTCAACGTTCCCCCTCGTTTTGATTTATAATTAATCTAATCTGGTTATTGGGGTTCTCTAGGGCATATGTAGCTCTCCATGCCTCATGAGATATCTCTTTCTCTTTCTCTTTGTTTTTATCTTAATTTCTGATTGATTTATGGATTCGTAGCGTGAGGCGTGAGGCGAGTTTAAGCCATAAAAAGGAATCCCGAAAAGATCATGGGAAAATCCCAAAATGGTGACGTAGGGGAAGATTCGCGGGAGCGATAGCATGGCCATTAGCAGCAACACGACTTCTGCCCTCCTTCCCCTTTATCGCCTCGAATGGGTTCTAAACTCGCTTTCACCGAATTCGTTTTAATATTTACTGAATTCTTTCCATTTCGAGCACGTTGGCACGAATCGGACAGAAATCTGTGGAAAGAGAGAGAGCGTGACACTGTTAAAGTGATCGAGAGAGACGCATTTTCACAGCATGTAAGCGGAATGTCTGTGCTCATGTGTTCATGTGTTCATGTGTTCATGTGTTCATGTGTCCATATGCATATGCGTGTGTGTGTGTACCAAAGTCATTGTCAGAAGAGGAAAAAGAGCAAGATGAAAGGAAGGCACTTCGGAAGCCGAAGCTTTTGATGCCCTCGAAAATTGATCGTTCCTATGAGAGCAATATAATAATAATAGTCATCCGATCTTGACGCTTCCGACTTATACTAAATATACATACATACATATGTCCATACATACAAATACTGCGCTTATCAAAATGTAATCCTTCTGAGAAGTGTTCTGTTATTTTGGTCTTAAGTTGTGTTCCAAGTCTTTTGGCTTCTGATAGGGTATAGCATATACATATGTAAATATGTACATATGTACATACATACATACATACATACATGCATGCATACATGTACATATGTGTGTAAGTCGACAAAATTCGAGTGAGAAATAAAATGAGCGGAGGGTGACGGCTTATGGCTTTGTCCACGGTTGTACAATGTTGTTGTACATCTACTGGTTCTTCTACTGCGTCTACGGAGTGGCCATATTCTATGACAACAGAAACAGGAGCGTGTTGGTGCTAGAGGAGGCATCGTGAGACGGGATTTAGAACATTAGAACAGAGTTGAGGAAGAAGGAATACAGTCAGCACAACATTTATTCGGACACTCGTCTATATCAACTTTCTGTATAAATAACTTGAAAAGTATTTAACTTTAACAAACATTTTTTAGTTCATTATGAACATGGATATTACTACTACTTATTTTAAGCCTAAAAACAAAACAAAAACGTTTGGCATATCAAAAAAAATTAAAAGTATCAAAAAGGCCACTTTTTTACGCACAAAAATTATTCGGACATATTTAATTTTGTACGAAAAAAACTTATTGTCCCCAATTTTTCTGATTTTAATATTTGGTAAGGCCGCCCATAGCTTCAATAAGAGCTTTTAGACGTCGAGGCATACTTTTTACCATTTTATTGGTTTCATTGGGATTAATTTTCTCCCGTTCCGTCATCAGAGCCGTTTAAAGAGTTTCCTTGGAGGAAATTGTATGTTTCCTAATTTTTTTTTCCAGCCAATCCCAAACATGCTCTTTGGGGTTCAGATCTGGTGACTGCGGCGGCGTTTTTAACTGCTTGCAATGATACAACAGCCATTCTTGAACCAAATACGAGGTATGTTTGGGGTCATTGTCTTGTTGAAAGAAGAAATTCTTCGCTTCAAGACCCAATTTTTCGACACTCGGCATTCAATTGTCACTCAAAATTTTCTTGTAGATGTGTTTGTCCATCTTGTTGTCAATAAACACCAATTGCCCAGGTCCAGCTGCTGCTCTACACCCCCAAACCATTACATTTCCACCGCCAAAGTTTTGTCAAAGTTAAATACAGTTATTTATACAGAAAGTTGATATAGACGAGTGTCCGAATAAATGTTGTGCTGACTGTACATACAAATGTACTTGTAAAATGCTTACGATACCCAGAGAACACTATAGAGTAGCCTCTAATGAAGAGAGACTCCACATGAAAAGAGGTAATCGTAGGAGACTTAGAGGCTTGTTTTTCGTTCAATGAGAGCAGCTGTTCGATAGTTTTGATCAATCCAGCAACCAGCATTAGTGGAATCAGAAAAGCTACACTTGCAAATTCCTGAAAATAAGACCAGAACCAGGGTGCAAGCCCACTCACTGTCACAGCTCCAGCTCCAGCTCCCCATCAGAGTCTCATGTTGGCATGACACGATCTCTACTGCTGTTGCGCTCCGATCTCCGCTCCGCTCCCACTACAAGTTAAGGCCCGAACCTGACTGGCATGTGAATGAGGAGGTCTGGTCTGGTCTACGTCTCCGTCTCCACACGGCTCTTGGTCTTGACCGAAATTGGTACACAGGTCTGAGGGGCAGATTGTCTTAGGTCATGCCAACAGCGACGCGCATAATAAATTTTTTGATTTTTTTGCCGAGCCACAAACAACAGCGGCAATGTCCATAAAATGCTGGCCAAAAGGAATGAAAATGAAAAGTTCTCAATCGACAAATGCGGATGAAAGGCTTTTCGACTAAGGCCTTTTGACAAGGCACGTAGCCCAGAAAGCAGGACGGTGGATGGAGATGAGAGTTGGGTGTGGAGGGGACGGGGGTACAGCTGGCACTGCACCGGGCATAATTATCATTTTTTGGTTACATTCGAGTGACAAACATCGAAAACGAAAACAAAAACGAAAGAAAGGAATGTCGGGCGGCAACTAAAGAAAAAAAGAAAATCAAACCGAATTTAACGATACGGTGAAATTTTGATAGAATGAGAGAGAGAAGAAGGAAAGCTGGAAAATTGTTGGATGTAGCACAATGGTCTTTATCAGTATGTATTTCTTTTAAATTGTACACATGTTTGATAGATGTCTTTAGAATGATATAAATCTATAGAATCTGCATACATACATATGTCTATGTAATGATATGCGTATGGATAAAATGGAATCAACGATTTAAATATAAAATAGTTTAATGAAATATAGAAAAATTGTACAAATATGTATCTACTTATATTGTCAAACGGTAAATTAAATGATTAGCCGAAGAAGTATCAAGAAGTCTAGAAATCAACAACAAAATCGAAATTTAGTGAATATTTTAAGAAATTGGTCAAATCATCGACAGCCTTTTCGCTTTTTGATGAAAGCCTTTCCATCAGCATCAGAACATCAGAACGAATGTGACCAGTAATGCGACCATACATATGTACATACATAAATACATATGTACATGCACATTTATGTACATCGCTTATCGATTACATGTCAAGCCAAACACTCAACGGAAATTAAGCCTCAGCTTCAAATTGAGTTCATTAAGAAGTGAGCTCTCCCTCCGTCTAACGCTTAGCATAAATACTCGAGATTCCTTTCTCATCATCGTACCCGTAGTCATCATCCAGCCATACAAAAGCGAGGAACGAGACAGAAAGGAAACCAAACCAAAACCGAGACGGGCTGACACAGAGACCGCAGAAACTCATTTGCCCACAAAGAGAGACAGAAGTGACAATTCAGCGACGATAGCGGATGGGAAGGGGAGGGACGGACGACTCAAGTCGAGTCTGGCGAGGGGGGACGTAGACATTAGCTGATGCATTTCTCACACTGGGAACTGGTTTTATTTAGCCAACCCCCCCAACAGCTTCCCGACACTTCAAGTGCAGTGCTGGTACACCTGGAGCTGGATAGAGGAAGGCCTACCTGAGATTAGGCCGCTCCAAACATCATGCTGGCCTGGACAGGGGCCAGTGTCCGCTACAGCGCCAGCCAACTGAGTATCCGCCTGACCCACATCCAATTCCAGCATTTGAACGGATTTGCATGGTTCAGACTGTGGCTGAAGCCGATTGACGCTGCTGCTGTTGCTGTTGCTGCTTGCTACAGCTAAAGCGGAGACAGAGGCCGAAGCAGTTGCAATGGTTGCTCCCAAACCGCCATTGGCGACGTCCGCTTTTCGTGCATGTCCGATGTGTGAGTGTGTCTGTGCTTGAATCGGCATTCAGAACTTGGCCTACTTCTTGTGACCGCTTTCCACGTGGGCTTATGCTTTCGTTCAATTGCGATCAGTGACTGGGGGAAGCGGCAGCTAGATGGGGGAGCACGTTAGACAACGCCCACTCCCCATATCATATCGAAACTGCTCTTCCACACCTGGCAGAGCCCAAGCCGGTCAAGTGGCCATCACCTCATCCCATGAGAGATCGGCAAATGGGAGATCGAATGGGATAGTCGATTGAGCGGTGGGCCTATCGAAAGTGATTATCCATTGCTTGGGAATGTAATGACTGTAGTTTTTAAAAGAAAAAAAAAACACTATGAAATGTACATATATAGAGGTATAAATAGGGAGGCAGCGTATAAGATGATGGCGCGCGATGCGTCAATAGTGGTCGAAGGAATTATGGCAATATAATTCTAGATATAGAATCAATGTTCATAAAAAAGAAGGCAGGCAAATTCGATTTGGTTGTTGGTTATTCTATTGTAGAAAGGATCTTAGTAAGAACCGTACCCTGAAACATAAATCCAAACAAGGAGGAAAGTAGGAATCATTGAAAAAGACTCAAAGCCTTACCAAGAAGGGATTCCCAGCAAATCAAATAAGCCACATTGTTTCTAAAACCCCCTTCTGTTAGGCGCGAACCGAGCTGCAACTAAATCGGCCAGTGCGACAAACCCCACGTCTGTCCGGCCAATTCAGTCCAGGTGGGGCCATTGTTGGCATTCCAATGTGTTGGAACTTAGCCATTGATGTGGATGTGGATTTGCACTTGGATGGCTTGCTGATGTGGATGCTGATGTGGATGTTGAGGCCCTGCAATTGTGCGTCATTAACATGCAAGCATATTGTCCCTGGGGAGAGGATCGCCGGTGGATGGAGTGAAGAGTGAATTGAGCAAACAGCATTATCGGATGATCATCTTCAAGTGGCTCGAGGGCCGACTAATGACAGTGCAGCATTCTCTATTGCTTGGCCTATACCACATGCACATTCACATCCACATTCCCATCCACATTTCCAACCGCATGCCCACCCAATCCCCTCCTGTTCCTGGTCTAATCATCTATCTGACTACGTGCGTTGCGGGTAATTTGTGTGGGCTGGGGAGAGGAAGTAATGGTGGAACTACGATGGATGGATGACCTTTTGCCATCTGCCAGTACAACAATTTTGAGCATTCAAATCGTAGTTAGATATCTCTCGCACTCTTCAGTGATCTCTCTCTCTTTCTATCTATCTCTCCTTATCTCTCCCTCTCTCTCTGTGTCTCTATCTTTCCCTGTTTTTCCCTGTGTTTCTCTGTCTTTCTGGTGGATTCTCTAAAAGTTGGCCGCTGTTAACCAGGTCAACTAACGGCAAACGTCCGCAAGCTGTTAAAGCCAACATAAACAAATAGCAAATAGCACCTTACCAACGAGTTCCCTCCCCTATCTATCTGCCTCTGTCTCTCTCTTGGCCCGCATCTTCTTGTTTGGCTTGTTTAATGGCATGGCTTCTACTTGTACCTCTGCTTCTATCTCGTAACACCACCCCCCTCGTATATGCCTCTTTTGGCTCTTTCTCTGATCAATTTACGCACAATTATTTGCATTCAACTTTCTTTAAATTTCAATTTGTTTAATATTGCATTTGGGAGAAGAGAGGGAGAGAGAGAGAGATTTGGATGGGAGGGTGAAGAGAAGATGGAGCGGTGAGATAGTCGCAAGATAGATAGAGAGGAGAGACGGGTCTAATTGGTTCAATAATGACCCATAATTGACAGTGAAATGTTGGTAATTTGCGCGTTTGGTCAAATCGATTTGCCTAATCGCTGGAAACAGTTAGAAAACGGAACGAAACGGAATGGAATGAAACGGATTGCCGTGGAATGGAATGTCATGGTCTCTCTCTCTCTCTCTCTTAAACTTCTCTAAGACATTCTTCATCCATTCGTTTTGTATCAAAAGTAAGCTGCAGAAGTCTTTTGTTTGCGCAGCCAATATTGCTACAGCTAAAATGCCCAATCGAAACTTTAGTAACTTAAAATTATGTCTTCAATTTCGCGCACTTTAATCTCCGATCGGCAACACCATATCGTGAATTTGTATACCCGATACTCAAAATGAGTATAGGGGTATATTAGATTTGTAGTGAAAATGGATGTGTGTAACGTCCAGAAGGCATCGTTTCCGACCCCATTAAGTATATATATTCTTGATCAGCACCAATAGCCGAGTCGATTGAGCCATGTCTGTCTGTCTGTCTGTCCGTTCATCCGTCCCTATCAGCGCCTAGTTCTCAAAGACTATAAGATATTGAGCAACGACATTTTGTATCCAGACTTCTGTGATTTGTCAGTGTTACAAGTATATTTCGAAACTCCGCCCGCCCCCATAAAGGACGAACATCTGGGGCATCCACAGTTTTGAAGATACGAGAAAATTAAAATATCACAGATGTCTGGATAAAAAAGACCTTGCTCTAGCTCTTATAGTCTCTGAACACTAGGCGCTCATAGGGACGGACAGACATGGCTCAATCGACTCGACGATTGATTCTGATCAAGAATATACAAAGTATGAATAATCGCTGGACTCGCACGCACTTCCAGAATATGTTAAACGTCCTGCAGATATGGATGGTTTACTTAAAATTT